TGCACTTAGAGTATGAAATGTAGAAATTAAGACTTAAAAGAGGTCAGTTAATAAATTTTTTCATTATTTGTTCTTAGACATTGCCAGCATTAATTGTGTTTTATATATCATCTCAGTTACAAAATCACTGAAACTTTTATCAAACAATAAATATTTTAGGTTAGATAGAGTTTAGGAAATAAATTAATTTGAAATTGGCTTCTTAATTAATTTGAGGAAATTTCTATATGGGCAAATAACGATAATATAGAAAGGTGTGTTCAACAGAAATATCCTTTAACCAGTTTGTCCTTCTCCTAAAGGAAATGGTTTAATGGGGATGAAAGGAACATCATGATAATTAATAAATAAACATCTGCCACCATCTTATAAAACATGCAGTAAATTAGAGGATGGACACAGTAGTGGTCATTACCAATTACTGCCTCTTTGAACCTTTTAAATCATCATTCATCAAAAACAGGTTAAGTTAAAATGATAATGAGATGGATGGATCCAAGCACAACTGGACACCTTCCCTTTGTTCCTGAAAAGAACCTGTGCTTGGTAAAGGACTTGCTGGCAAACTCACAAATCGAGTTGCATGCAAAGAGCTCAGAGCAAAACCAGTACATCCCTGCTCCTCTGTATCTGGCACATGCAAACTTTTCTTGGAACTGCTTAGCTAAAGTGCATAAATGGCTCTTGGGCATTCCCCCAGCTTTCTGTATTTTAGATCCCATGGGGTCAGGGTTGGGGGTCCATCAGCAGCATGAAGTGGGGTACCTGTGGCCATAATGTCCACACTGGCTGTGGAGTGGATCCACCAGCCTTGGAGAACCTACGCATTACAAGGGACTGGATTTTGTGTACTGTCTCTTCTTGCTGTAAGTAAACACTACACCACTAGAGCCTTCCAGTGCTCTCTCTTACTCTGACTCTTTGAATATAAGACTTGCTTTGACCATTAGAAGGAGGCAGAAGTAATGGTGTTCCAACATCTCCCTTTCTTTTCTTTTACTTCCGCCTTCACCATGAGAAGGGCATGCTCGGAACAGCTTACTGGTCACAGGAAGAGGATGAAAATCACCTAATATAGAGCTATTCTAGCTAATGTGCCCCAACCAAGCATAGCCTAGAACACAGTTCCCAGCAGACTTGCTGATGGTTGAGTGAGGCCAGCCAAGACCAGCAGGAACACCCAACTGAGCTGGAGAGAGGTGTCTGCATCATTTTTGAACAGAAGTGTGGATACTAACCCTTAATAGGTAGGAACATGCCACTTCTATAGGCTCAGAGGGTTCAGAGGATTCTGGGATTTCAACATTTTTGTTGAAAACTTATTGCCATCCATGTTCTGGATCCCATTCTTTTCCAAACAAGTCCCTGACCCTGGCAAAAACCTTAACTTTCCATGGGGGCTCAGCTACTTTTACAATTGTTGATTGACACCTTCAGCTTTTTGTTAATTTTTTTCCTAGAGTGATAGGGGTTAGCAATGAGCACTCAATTCAATTTTCATTGTAATTGCTATTTCTCCTCCATGTCTCAAATATTTGATACATGGTACCAGCTATGCATTTGCTTCAACCATTATAGGCATCCTTGTTTACTACTGCTGAGAATTTTAACAACTGCACAGCCATCTTGTGCCCCTTGTCAGCCAGGAACAAATAGTTCAGCTCTAAAATATCATCCCAGTGTCTGCTTTCTTGGGCCACTCCTAGCATCAGGTTGCCAAGGTTGGGTTCACAAAGATGTAGATTCTGAGACAGAGATTAATGTGGAGGAGGTTTACCAGGGTGTGCTTTTGGTATCAAGGGAAAGGAAGGGACATGAATAAAGCAGGAGAAGTTGGATGGTGACAGAGGCTCAGTGGAGGCCTCAGCCAACCCTATAGGGATATTTGACACTGGAGTGACCCTTCTGAGTTCTGTGGAGTTCTCCTTCACCGAACACTTATTGAAACAGTCCATGTGGGGGAAGTGTCTCTCTTCAGCTAAAGCAATCCTGGTAGGGGCCTGAAAGTTGAGAGTTTTCTGTGGGCAGCACTTCCAGCATCTGGGGAAGTCACTCCTTTATTCCTGAAGGAGGATCTTGATTGTGCATCATAGAGTCTTCAACCACATAATTACATTAAGTAAATTATGACTATGGCACAATGAAGACAGTTTAGCTTTTAAACTGGAAATTTTTCACCTATTTATTTACTATTATTCTGAAGTCTTCTAATTTAAGAGAACTCTTTGTGGCTATACATTTCCCTGTGTTGATTCCTTCTACATACATATCAACTCTGATTCATTTTTTTGAATGCCTCTTTTTCCAGTTGGAGAGATTACATGGAATAAGCCATGATTTTTCCTTTTAAAAAAAGCCACTCTGCCAACAAATACCAAGGGCTCCATAATATTTGTTGAGTTGCTGTCGACTGGATGATACCACAATGTTTATTTGTCAGGCTTTCTATCCATTAGTTTACTTTCTACAAAAAAGTAGTATATCAAAAGATAATGACCACACTATAGAAATTCTACTACTATTATTTTTCTTCTACCACCTTATTTGCATGCCTAAAGTTTTAAAATTTCTCATGATATTTTAGGGGAAAACATCTACAGTAAATGGACCATGTTAAATAGATTAAATTAGCCTTTCCAAAGGACTCTAACAAAGCTGAGATTAAATTACTTTTAGATTATATTTATCTAAAAATATCTTTTGTCTTCTATTAGAGTCAATTTCCAGGAGACTGAGGCTTTGCACTGATCAGCACCTCTCATATGCTCTCAAAGCTCTTATTTTGAATCTATCATGTCCATAGCCTATTTCTGATCTCCATGTAAATTAGATTTTTCTAAAATACGATTCCACATTATGGTTAATACCTGCAGATTTCAAAACTTTTACATTAGATTTGGAAATCACCCCTGGTTCTCAATAACATTTTCGGAGAGAGAAAAAAATATTGCACTTCTCTTTCACTTCAACATCTGTGATTATCTTTCTCTAAGTTCATTTTCTTGGCAACGGGAAAATTTTCTACTCCTCAATTGGATAGTAACCAGTAGCCAGTAACTATCAAAACACAGCCGAGAAAGTATTCTTTTTCCTACCTTCCAGTTCCTTAAAAAATTGATGTGCCTTTAGAGATTACTCTAGAGATGTTTATAGAAAATTGTTAGTTTGGGGACAAATATGCCAGATGCACATGTTGGTTGCACATTAGGGAATGGGTGGTAGGTTTGCATTCCGTAGTTTTACTGCACTATGGGAAAACCATTGTTCTAATCCAAAAAATGTGCTTCCCAGAGCCCCAAATGTGTCACAAGGATTGATTGTGTGGAAGCTGCAAAAGACAATTCAGCACAATTTTCTGGGGGATAAAACATTTTTACAAGATTCATTGGAAGGCCCAATCTCAGATAAATAATGCAAAGCCCCTTACATGCCAAGCTCTGCCATCACACAGCCTCCTCTGGTAAAGCATTTGGTCTATCATGGGCCCATTTTGACTCCTTTGAAAGAGAATTATCCTCCTGGAAATATTTTTTCTATAGCATAAATGTAGATATGATATAGATTTAATCTGTGATTAAATCCCAAGTGAAAAATAATTGAGACATTGTTTCATAACATTAACAGACAAATGTAAAAAAAATAAAAAGACAACCCTAAATGTAAAATGTGGTTTCTTGATGTTATGGGTTGAATTGTGTTATCCTAAAGTTAATACGTTGAAGTCTGAACCCCTAGCATCTCAGAACATAACTGTATTTGTAGTCTTTAAAGAAGTAACTAAAATAAAAAGAGGTCACTAAGGTGAGTCCTTAGTGTGGTGTCCTTATAAGAGGAAGAACTTTGGACTCAGACCCATACAGAAGGAAGATCATGTGCAGAGAGAAGCTGATCTAAAAGTGAAGTAGATAGGCTTCAGAAGAAACTGACTCGCCAACTTGATCTTAGACATCTAGCCTCCAGAACTGTGAGAAAACAACTTTATGTTTGTTTAATCCACTCAGTCTAAGGTATTTTGTTATGGCAGCCCTAAAAAAATAGTAATGTGAGTCTTAGATCTATTTGCTGAGAACATACTAGCAAGAATTTGTTATATTTTCTAAGGAGAAATAGTTTGCAACAGTACAATGTGTTTTCATACTTAATAGAAAGTCAGTGGTTTGTATTTACATTGGAGAATAGGGGATAAGGTCCGTTTTCACTATGTACACTCCAAATGAATGTGAAGCCACTCATTTATATTCACATTATCTTTTCCTCTCAGAATCATCAAGTGTATTTACAAGAAGGCAAAATCAGCAGAAAATTCAGAAGACAAATTTTCCAAAGACTGTTTTTGTAATGGAAAAACTTAATATCCATCAAAAAAGATAAAAAACCTGACAAAATGTAGTAATAATATGACTTGTATATTTATTGATTATATACGGTAAGCAATAAAAATGGAATGTGCATAATTTATTTAAGTAACTTCCAAAATCTTTGTCACTCAGTTGATTTCTGAGTATGGACTCCACATTACTTTGAAGAAAAATTGATATTTTTCATTAAATGTTTATAGATATATTCCATGATAATTTAATATAGGCAATTATTTTAAAAACATAATAATCCTCATGTCTTTAAAAATACAGAGCAAATGGGGCACCTGGGTGGCTCAGTCAGTTAAGCCTCTGCCTTTGGGTCAGGTCATGAGTCTGCTTCTCCCTCTGGCCCTCCTTCCTCTCATGCTCTCTCTCTCTCTCTCACTCTCTTTCTCTCAAATAAATGAATAAAAGCTTTTAAAAAAATAGAGAGCAAACAAGAAATGAAAATTTTATATATTCTAATAATACCATGTCTTTGATTTAGTATTTAATTTTTTCCAGGATTATGTGTGTGTGTGTGTATGTGTGCGTGCGTGTGTGTGTGTGTTAAATACATGCCCCTGAATAGACAGTTCCTAAATTATGGAAAACATATAATTAAAATGTCAATATATTTGGAAAAAAGTTACAGAGGTATTTTGGTTCGCACTCCAGGTGATTTCATTTTATTTCAGCAGAAATTATAGAGAAGGTATAAGAATTGTGGTATCAGAAGTACAGCATCTTGCCAGTGATGTTATCCATTATCCAGCATGTTGAAAAACAGAGCAATATCCTTAAGTGCCATATGACAGGAAAACAGAGCCATATTGTTTCATCTTTTCATTCCATTCAGAATACAAGTAGATTCAAACTGATTATGGAACACATTGTATAGCTTAACAGAAGGAAAATCCTGTTGTGATAGACATGAAATTTCTGAACATCAAGTTTACAACAAGTTCAACAAAAGGTTATCAAAATCTCTAGTCTTATTTCGAGACATCGATGTTTCTCAGTGCCTGAGTGTGGATGACAAGTGGCCCTCAAGAGATGTTTTACTCAGGGTCACTGTAACACCTATTCCTTTTAATTTGCTCTTCCACAGTGAGTTGTTCAGACTGGACCTCCGCTCTGGGAAATGAAGGCTTAGCTGCACATTCACTGCTCAGAGCACCAAAACTTGGATTCCCATTAATGGGGGCTGTACCTATTGCTTCACCATGCCAATGTTTGACATCCTTCCCAAATTCTCTTAAATACAAACATTGCATATTTTTCATTTGGTCTACAGAACCTATGAAGTCATGCTCAGAAGTATTCTCATTCTTTTTGGAAAAAGCAGCGATTTTCATGGTATTAGAAAAGAAGAAGTGTAGGTTTTTGTTATTTGCATGGTTTCTTTTGATGTTTAAGATATTTGTATCGGAAGAGGCTATGGACCTTTCTTCCCTTACTATTAACCCACCACTGAGGCTGGGTTTGGGAGCAGACTGCATGGGACTGCCAGAAATAGCTCTGTCAGCCTGTTTTCCGAGAGCCATAGAGTATGCCTTTTCAGATTCAAATATGCCAAGTAACTCTGAGATTCTAGATGCACTTTCTAAATTTTCAATTTGATATTCAGTTGCAGTGTAGTTTGCTTCCCTTGACAGTGGTAATAGGTTAGGAAATTCTAAAATAGATGTCTTCTGCCTGCAATTATTCAGACACAAGACGGCCACATAATTGTTATTATTATTCTTATTCAAATTCTCTTTACGATTTTCTGTCACCGCCTCATCATCAGTGTTAGTAACCTGTAAAACTTCTGCACCATCAGGTTCATTAGTTTTTTCATTTTTCTCCTTCTCAGCACTCTGCACAACTACATTATTGTTGTCATTAAGATCCATTTCACTTTCCCTTTTATTCTTTGTGTCTTCAGCCTCATTCAGCTTATCTTGCACATTCTTATTTCCTTCCTTCTTCTCATCTTTATTTGCTTCATACATTTCCATTTCTTTGATTCCTGTAACATCCTCCTTCTGACATGTATGGATGGACTGCAGATATGGCTGCAGGAAAGAAACGTTATCTTGCCCTAGTCCTTTATTTTCCAGAGTTTTAATGTGTTCTATTAGTGATTCACTTTTGAATTCAGTGGATGTAGCGACTGTCATTTCTGGTGGCCATTTAGGTTTACTCACTTTGAGCTCTTCCTCAAGGGGGAAGGTTTTCTTAGGCATCTCCCTGGAAGGGGGCCAAATGATTTTTAATTTTCCCCTCTCCCTGAATTTTCTCAAATCATCTCTTTGCCCTTTACTGTTACCATCATCTAAATGTTTATTAGGATCCCCAAGTATGGTGGCGTTTTCTGCACTATTTTTACACATATTTGTTTTTTCATTAGGAGTAAAGTCCACTGAGCTGCTTTGATTTTTGCAATTCCATCGATCTTTATGTTGTTTGTGTCCAAAACCTTCATCATAATTCCCTTTAGATTTGAAAAGTTGGTTAAAGTGAGGTTTACAATATATTTGTCCATGAAGTGATGCATAATTTCCCAAACTGCCAAAAAGAAAAAAAAAGAAAAAAAAATGTTTAACATTCCATATATACACTGCAAATTCATAAGGAATTGGGTAACTATTTCAAGAATGAGTCAGAGATTCAGTGCAGTTAACTTACTGGCAATAGGAATGTGCTTATTAATTAAACATCCTTGTTAGATAATAGTTACCACTAGTACCCCACATGATACATGTTTTATAGTATTTAGAATTTCATGCTGTATGTCAAGTATTGATATAATAGGTATTATAATATAATGTATGTGTGGTTATAGATGGTACAAAATGATAGGACTAAATCTCTGCTAATTCAGTGATTTATGTGAGGGGCCACAATTTTCAATAAATCCTGAATAGCACACACACACACACAAATCAACCATTTAAATTTCCTCGTTAACTAGATTTTGAATGAATTGGAAAGCTTGCCTCTGCAATTGTTTATTTGGCCTCTTTGGGGAGATTAACAAATAGAGTGCCTGTTAAAATTAAAATCAGTTTAGTCAAAGGCATCATTTTTCATATCTCTCAATCTCCACATACAAACAGGCACACCAATTAGATAACAAAACTTAAACCCATGGATAAAATTTATAACAAAATTAAGTGACAAGGTATCCCCACCAACCCCAAAACACAAGGAGGAAAGAACAAACAAACAGCTATAGTAACATCTGTATAAGTGATAGCAGAGGGAGCAAGGGAGGTGTCTGAAAGACCAGAAAATATAAGACCACAAAAGAGCCATCCATTATTTCCTGGAAAGTATCACACACCAATCAGAGAATAGTAGCTGAAACGAGGAGGGATTTTACCTTCTCCATTAGCCAGTGAGTGCAAGGGCCCTGTGGTAGGAAAATCTGAAGATGACAGATAAGTCAAACTCTCAAAGCTGACCAATCGAGATCCCCTTTTAGGACAAGACTTTACACTGACAAAAAATATGGGAGTGGAATCAAATTGTAATTGGATAATGATGACAGCAAAGAAAGGAAGGTCCTGACTAACATGGGGGAGAGAAATCAAGGCAGGAAATCCCAGGAATCAAGCAATTATAGGTTTTTGGACAGTATATGAAAACTGGAAGAGGTAGCTCTTTGTAGTTTGGGAAAACCATCCTGAATTTTGCCTCCTTCTAAGATTTGGGAAAACTAATGCCATACAAAAGTAAGCAAAAGAAAAGTATCGAGGCCAAATATTATATAGTTATTATAAGAAAAAAAAGAGTAAAGAGCATTTTTAATATCCCTACAGACAATGAAAACATGCTAGAGAAACATGTTCTCAACATCAAAATTTAAAAAATGGGCTAAAAGACATTAAAACATGATAAAAAGACTTGAAAGAACAGCATGAATTATAATTAGAAAATGTCATAAATGAGGTGCTAGAAATCAGGAAAAAAACAAGTAAAAGAAAAAAAGTCAGTGATAAAAACTAAACTAAAAGAAATATAAGAGCAAATAAACACAATAGAAAGTATTTTAAGAAGAAATAGGGGAATAAACAGATGAAAATTTACAATCAGAAACGGAAGAGGAGAAGGATTTGAGAGAAAGACAAATATTAAAGATAGGCACAAAATATCCATGTATGGATAAGAGGAGTTCCTGAAGTAGAAAATAAAGCAATAAAATAGGTTAAATACTAAAAAGCTATAATTTGAAGAAACTTTCCTCGTATAAAGAGGTCGGAAACTGCGTACTGAAAGAGCACACTTGGCAACTGATACCATTGACCCACAATGACTAACATCAAAAACTACTCTAGCCAAATTACTGCAGTTTATCTTTATTTTTTTGGACTTTAAATAAAAAGAAAAAAGATCCTTTGTATTTATCTAAAAAGGAAAAAAAAAGAGAACATATGATTTACAAAGGAAAGAAAATTAGATCATCAGTCATGTGCAACACTTTATGCCAAAAGAAAATGGAGTAATGCATTTAAGATATTCAGTGAAAGAGGGGCGCCTGGGGTGGCTCAGTCGTTAAGTGTCTGCCTTCCACTCAGGTCATGATCCCAGCGTCCTGGGATCGAGCCCCGCCTCGAGCCCCGCATCGGGCTCCCTGCTCAGCAGGAGGCCTGCTTCTCCCTCTCCCACTTCCCCTGCTTGTGTTCCCTCTGTCGCTCTCTCTCTCTGTCAAATAAATAAATTAAAAAATCTTTAAAAAAAAGATATTCAATGAAAGAAAGTGTAAGTCAAAGATTTTATTTTCAGCAAAACTGACTTTCCATTATCAAGATCACAGAACAGACTTTTCTGAAGGAGGTACTGGAAAATAAGCTTGCATAACCAGAAAGGATACAGAAAGAGTGACATAAAGATGGGTGGCAAGTATTCTCTATATTGTCACCTATAAACTAAGATGAGATGAGGACAAGAAGCAAGACGGTGTGACACGTGATGGCTGTGTCATATGACACCTAGGATAGAGCACAGTTCTTAAAAAATGGGGTGTGCATGAGTGGGGAGCAAATGCCATTTTTTAAAGGTTTCATAATCAAATTAGGGTGCTGATAGTTTTGCTATTCCAAAATTGTTGTTCAAATGAATATGGGATATTCTAATTCTGTCATCTCCTTTGTCTTTGAGGACCAGAAGTCCTGAAGTGAAAGCAAGGAGACACACATGGAATAGAGAAGAGGCTAAGGCAAAAGAAATTCAGTTTTGAATTCAATTTGGAAATATTCTTACAAATTCGTGATATATTTTTCCTTTACATATAAATATTTGCTAGCTCGTACCACTAAGAGAGCTTCAAAATAGTGACCAACTCAGTAGAAAAGAGCATGGAGATTGTAGTCTTGAAATGCCATTTCTCATGTAAAGAAACCAGGGTTTAGGGAAATGACTGATTCTAGGTCCAGGGGAAGTAAATGTACCAAATGAGCATGGAACATCTAGTTCTATCAGGTAATGAGGAAACTATCAAAGATTACTTAGGTCTTGCCTAAAGGACTCAGGAAACAACCTGAAGAGACCAAGGATAGAATAATTTGAGCTTCAGTAATAATAATAACTGCATCAGATTGAAACCAATCAAACACATGTAAATCTATGAGTTTATAAAGATATTACAAATATTTTAAAATTGGTTACCTCTAGGGGATAAGGAACCATTTCGTTACATTGTTAAATAAATAACTGATACATTGGCAAACGAGGTAAATAAAGGGAAAAAGTTACGCATGTATTCTGCCTTTCCCCTACCAACTGTACCAACAAGTAACCAAATAGTAGATGAGGGGAAGCATCTTCTGTAAAAGTATTCCAACTAATAATGAAAAAGAAAGAATAAAATGAGAATATCAACATTTTGCAAACATCAATTAATGGATATGGGTGTTAAGCTTCAATATCTGCTATGATCACAAAATCAGAGACTATGTGCTTACTCTCCTTGCCAACACTCCGTATGTTCCAGCAAAAGGTATCAAATCTAGATTCAGCTGACAGTTTGTTGGAAATGCAGGGGAGAAGGGAGTATGTGAACGGCACCACTAGAGTGCAATCAGCAAATCCAGACTGTGGAAAATTCTACAGGTCAGATATCTTGGGCTCTTCACAAATAAATTGCAAGGAATGAAAGAAATGGAAAGAAACCTTTTAAAAGACTTAAAAGAAATGTCAAAGTTTAAAAAACTGAGCAAAACTATAGTATCTAGGAGAGTATATTTGGATTTAAAAAACTATAAAAATGTAAGGAAGCAACGATGAAAAAGAATACTGTTCACTCAGAGAGTGTTTGGGTGGGGCACATGGAAGGAGCTTCTGAAACTGTTGGCAATGTTTATTTCTTGAACTTGGTACAGGTTACAAAGTGTTCACTTTATAATTCATTAAACCATACATTAGCTTTGTTTTTCTATATTTGTGGCTTTTTGTACAATGATTTTTGAAAAATATCAGTCATAAAATACTTTCAAGTCCTTACTAAATGTCAGCCTTTACTAGGTGTTGACAGTCAAGCATAAACACATTTCCTACAGCAGGAAACCAATTACATTAGATTGTGTTAAGAATGGGGCAAGCACAGGGGATGCTCTGGGAGCACTTAGGAGGGACACCTGATCCCTATGTGGGGCTCAAAGCAGGCTTCTTTAAAGACATGAAGTCTCAGTTGAGGTCTGGAGAATGAGTGCATATTAGCCTGGTGGAGAGCTGGAGGAGAGGCACAGGAAAACTCCTACAAGGAGTGCAAATGACATTTGGAACCAGCTAGATATGACAGAGAAAGATAATAATTTTAAGGACCTGAAAGTCTTCGTGAAAAGTAACATGCAATGGGAGGAAGGGACACTGGGAAAGGAGCTGGGGCAAGATTCTACATTGCCTGTTAATCCATAGTAAGATGCTAATTTGATGTTGATAGAGGAAACCGTTATGTTTTAAACATAGAAGTGACCTCAGATTTACATTTTAGAAAGATCATTTTCACTACAGCATGGAGCATGGCATTGGGACAAGTTGGTGGTGGTGGTGATGGAGGCAAGAGACAGTGGAGGCAAGGGAGACTAACTTGCTAGAAAGACCGTTGCATTAGTATAGGTGGGAGGATACCTGCTCTGTGGGGATGGAGAAAAGTGTACAGCTCATGAGACATTTATGGGATCTTGATTATAGGACTTGGTCTTTGCTTGGACACAAGAAATGAAGAAGAGGAAGGAGTCAAAGGTAACTTCATGTTTCCATCATTGAGTTAATGTTATTTATTGAAGAGAGTATCATACAGATCACGAAGTCAAGGAAGGAATTTTGGTAGAGAGAAGATAATGGGGCATATTGAATTTAGTATACTTGTGAGAAATATAATTGGAGATAAATATTAGTAATTAAGATATAAGCATCTGATAGAGGACAGAACTGGGCTATTAGTACAGATTTCAGAGTTATTCCACATGGATGATGATTAAAGTCATGGGCGTGGATGTAATAACATACATA